AAGCCAAAACCCTCTTTATACAATGTTGTCATCTAACCCTGCAGCACTGAGGACACCAGTCAACTCTAAGCAGGATATAATAAGCCAACAGTGCCCTCTTGTTACAAACAAAGCCAATAGCATCCTGGGTCATATTCATGACAGAGGCCCTTGCAAATCAAGGGAAGTGATTCTTCTGCTCTATTTGGCACTATGGCTTCACTGAAGTACTGTGTCCGGTTTTGGGCCCCAAGCTTCAAGAAGGACATGGGCAGCTTGGAAAAAGTCCCATTCAGAGCAGCAAAAAATGATTAGGGGCCTCGGAAATGCGGCTTAGGAGGAAAGGCTGAAAAAGGTGGAGTTATTTAGTCTGGAGGGGGAAAGACTGGATTTGATGGCCATCTTCAAATACCGAAAGAGGACAGGACTAGAAGCAATGGCCTCTGCAGCAAACTGCAGCAGAGGAAGTTTATGTTTGAGATGAGGAAGAACTTTCTGACTATAAAACTGCTTAAGCATTGGAACAAGCTACTTACAGAATTGAAGAACCTCTGTTCCTAAAATTTTCAGTAGTAGGTTAGACAGACTGGGCTGGTTTCAGTGGCAGACTGACGGCATGGGGGGAGGGCCAAGGCCCCTGGGTGCCGACCAGGGCGGTGGGGCTGGCACGGCTCTTTAGAGTTCTTCGTCCACAATGTAACTTTAATTATTGCTATGAGAAGGACAGGGGAGGGTGGCTCAAATGCAAGCATTGACTGAAGACCCATGGTATATCACTAGCTGGTTTACTCAGTGATGCCTTGAGTAGGAGGCTGGACTACATGACCTCATGTGATTTATTCCAGTTCTACTTTTCTGTGATCCTAATGGCAATGCTTATGTCACATTGTCAAAAAAACAGGGTTTACGCTTTGAAGATTTATTAGAAATGCAAAGAACTGCTATATCAGATGAAAACTGGAGAATGTTTTCTTATTTAAATCCAGGGCCCTGTGTATTACAGTGTAGGGATAATCAGGTAAATAATGTGCTGGCATGCTCAAATTATGGATCAGTTTTCCATCTAACCAGAACTCCTTTTTGTTATCAACCTAGTCCAAGAGAATACTTTTTTTATAGAAATGATTCACTACCCACTGAAGTCAGTTCATATATTTTAAATTATTTCAAAGGGTTTTGGATCAGCCAACCTTATTTATTTTCATAATAATTAAAATTTGTTTTACACTGCATCTACCCCTAAATTTCAGGGTGCTACAGATTTTTGGACTGCTGAACCACCTTGGAAAATGTGCACATTTTGTTACCTCGGTAAGGTGCACCTGAAAGATTTTTACTAGTTGTTTTTATTATTTTAGTAGTAGAGAGGGGATGCAGTTTCTCTTTCTTTTCATGACAGGGTTCAACAGAGACAAACCTGGGAAACAGAGGATAGAATTAGGGATATATGTTGTAGCCATGTTGGTCTAAGAAATAGACACAAATAAAACTCTTGGTCTAGAGGTGATATCTTTTATTAAACCAAATAAATAGTAGCAAAAAAAAATTTCTTTGCAATTTTTTGGTCTGAACACCCTTCATCAGGCTGAGGAGAATTCAAAGATTTTAAATCTTTTTTGTAAATTTTACAATCTTTGAATTGTCCTTGGCCTGATGAAGGATGGATCCAAAAGCTTGCAAAGAAATAAGTATTTTTGTTACTATTTAGTTGGTCTAATAAAAGATATTGCCTCTAGCCCAAGAGGATAGAATGATCTATTTCCCCAAATAAGTAGGGAACTTAATGGAGTTATTTCAGCGTGTCCTGAATCTGTAGCTCCTTCCAAAAACAATGGATGAGCACATTGATTGAAAGGCTGGATAGAAATAATCAGTGGTAAAATAGTTAATGTTTATCTTGGCAGTGTTGAAGTGATGTTGTAGTTTTCGAGAATGACAGTACCTTTTTTTGGATCTTGAAGAAGATTGGCCCAATAAAAGATATAACTCACAAAAGTCTTCCCTCTGGCAATGTTTATCTTGCCATCACTAGATTTCAGCATGAACAGCCCACTCTGATTATTGAAGGTAGTTCATCTTATTGAGCTGGTTTTTCAGGCTGCCTGCAAACTCAAGTAAAATAATTGCATTTATATTTGTCTTAAGGGAAGGCTAATCCAGATCACAAATGTCACAATTATGCTAATGTTTCCCCTGTCGCATAATCACATTACATAAAGGACTCTATTTAATAGCAATTAGAGATAAAAGACACGTTGTTCATTGTATTGTTCATTAAGTTGTCAATGGAGAATATTTTACTTGAGACAGCAGTTTGCATCTATGCATCAGCTAGTGCCTAATACTATTTACATTAAAATCAATGGAAATATAGATTTTTGCCTGCAATAGTAACAACCTCAGAACCTGTAGAAATATGCAGTCAATAATTTTAATGGACATCAGGTAAGACTCATCCCTGTGTAACCTGCTGAAATTAATGGAGTTATGCCAGTGCTGAATTTTGCCCAATACAGCAGTCTAAATTCAGAGTTTTGTTTTAATGGCTTACTGTTATTTCCCCAGTGGCAGGAAATGCTTGAAAAAAAAAAAAGCCCTTCATATAAACAGTGCCTATTTTTATGCATTTGGGGAAATAACCCTGCAAGAAACAGAACAGTGATTACAGAATGCAAATCAATCAAAGCAGGAGAATTATGAGAATGAGGATCAATATCAACATGGTTTCTTTTAAGAAAAATTGAAGTGAAATTGTAATACCTTTGCTGGGGTTGAGAACAGGTCTCTTACTGGGGAATGAGGTATTCATATCTTCTGTCTTAATTAAATAAGACTTATGAAGCTTGGTTCCTTGGGATATGTGTCGTTGTATAATTGTGATAAAAGAACACACATGAAAACTTATGATTTTTTAATACACATTAGAAATACTGATTAATTTTGGGCCAAATCTGTCCTTTTCACACTCTCTCCAGTTGTGGATGGCCCTGAATGTGGTGGAACTGGAGCAGTTAGGTTGTACTGGTGGGCAAATCAAGAGATAGCAAACCCACACTTAAGATCACTTCCTGTGTACATCACCGAACTGTATTCAGTTGGTTATAAAGTTTGTCCTCCTGGTAGAGCGCATAGGTCAATCTGGGAACAGGTTATGGAGCTTTGGCCAAGGGAGCTGCGTTTACATGGACCCATTGGCCAAACTTTCCTTTGCAATAAGGACATACAGAGGGTAAAGCAGCCATGGAACTACTGCAGCCATGATGCTTTATTTTTAGTGGCTCAATTGATGATTTATGCCTAGATTTTCACTTGCTAGAATTCCAGCATATTTCCATTGCACCTAGCTCACTGTGATTGAACTCAGGGTTGAGGGTGCGGTTGCATATGAATTTTGTTTTAGAAATTATCCACATATAGCTGTGAAAAATTAACAGTTTTGTATTTCAGTTGAGGAGGACTGAAGTACATCATAGCTGCTTTGCTGTGTTTGTGCTACAGAAATCTAGAATCTCACATGTGGGGAATCAGAGAGCTTTCTGTCCTTGAACTATTTTTCCCCTTTGAATTAATATTTGAACTTCTTATTTCTAAAGTTAACAGAGTAAACAAAGGGAATCAATATGTTACTAATTCTTGTAGCAAACACCAGTAGTTAGACCCTGGTGACTGTTGAATAATGGCACATGCTACAGTGACAACTTGTTCTTGTCACCTGGTATCTGATTAAAACCAAATATATGCATTAAGGACTTACAGCAAATCATGCTACAAATTGCTTTTAAATAAGACAGAACTAGTGAAATAAGACAACAAAAGGACAGTCAGAGACACAGCAGGGGCACTCACAGGAATGTTCATGAGCTGCCTACAGAAGGACAATAGGTCAGATTCAATCCAAGGAAAAGAAAAAGAAATCAGCACTAATACAAACATTGCATAGGGCTAGATGTTCAGAACAAATATGGGGAAAGCAGACAACGATAATAGAATTTTAAAAAATTTAAAAAGAATAACAGAGTTCAGAGGGGGTAAAAGAAAGAACAGATTGTGAGGTGGGAGCCTTGCTGAAAAATTAATTACAACCTTGAAAACATGTATAACTGAATTTTCACAAGTTTCACTGTGTTGTTCCTGACTGCTGTGCATCATGTAATGTAAGAAAGTACGGAAACAGACTAAGTGGATGAGGCTTACTACCATTCACTTTAGAGGCTTTCATTGATATGTGTGTACTGGGAGACAAATTCAAAAGTTCACCTGAACCTACCAGCTCATTGGGCCGGTGCAGTTAAAGCACACCAGTTTCTGTAACAAACAGCACCACAGGAGTGACGTGGCTATAGGCTTACCTGATTGATTACCTTTGGTGCCCTAGCCTAAGTCAACTGAGTCATCTGGGTCAGTTTGAACTCATGCTTCTGGAACCAATGCAAGATACACTAACGTATCTACCCACAGCGTGGGTACAAGAATCACTAGAACAAAATGTCTCACTTCCTAAACCCATTACAGATTTCCCTAGCCAACTACAGTTTTGCCAACCATAGTATTGAGTATCCACACTTAATGTTTTATTTTGGCTACCACAGTATACGGTTCTGAGTAACCACAGTTTTCTGTGGCTGTGCTTTAGCCCGCCACCTGCCATTTTTCCCATAAGCCTTTTGTCTTGCCAACCATGGTTTTGCCAGCCACAGGAACGTTCAGGAACCTAATCCCAGTGGTTGGTGAAGGAAACCTGTATTGCCAACTCTCAAGATTTTTGGCATTGCTTTTAAAGTTTATGCTTCGGGAATGTGAAAAACTTAGCTATTTCCTTTTATATTTATATATCAATATAAATATATAAAAAAGAGCTAAGTTTTTTCACATTCCTGAAGTATAGACTTCAAGAACAACACCAAAAATCATGAGAGTTGGCAACACTGTGAACCATGATGTAATTTGTAATCTGACATCAATTTGAAATATTGTCAACAAGAGCCATAAGTGCTCAGGACCTCTGGAAACCAGGCAACTTAATTTTGTAGGTGCTTATGAACCTGATCCTTTTCCCACTGAAAGATACGCTAAAACTTTCACTGATTTTTATTGGCACAGGATCAGATGGATTTTGGTGCCTAAATATCAAGACCAATATTTTCATATTTTCAGTAGCCTGAACACAGTTAGAGTGAGTTTAATCTATCTGAATTTTCCAGAGACTGAAAATATTATGCTTTCTCTCTATCTAGCTTGCCATTAGTTGCCATATCAGCATGCTATAATTATTTAAAGGGAAGTCTTTCAAGGCTGGCAGGACTTACTACATGGACAGTGATTTCTCTTCTTAAAGGTATTCGCAAAAGGGACTTGTATAAATGCCAATGCCTAGACCGAACCACAAGGAAAGGAAAGCTCTGGAAAGTCTCTCTGTTTTTCTTCAGTTTTCCCTTTGAATGGATGTGTGTGCTATTAGAAGGGAGACACTAATTCTGGAGACCACATACCCTTTTTGATCTTAAGAGGTCCTCATAGAATATTATTCCTTTTTCCAAGGGAACAGGAGGTGCCTTGCAGGAGTGGCTACTGCCTGGGTGCATCCTCCTGCATTTGCTCAATAGCAACTGCAGATGGATCCAGAGGATAACACCAATCTGCAGTCATGGGAATTAACTAGTTAATTAACTAGTTAAAAAGTTCAAGAAATGGCTAACTTTTAACTTCAACTAGTTCAATTTTTCTGCTGTCAACTTTTAACTTTACCTAGTTAAAAAAAAGGTTAATGTTAACATTTTTTTCAGTATAATTTAAAAGTTTTTTAAAAAATTAAATCCGGTTTTCCCAGAGTTTTTCCTGACACAGCCACTCTCTAGGTCTTACATGGAACGATATTTCTTTATTGAAACTCTAAGGACTTCTTGTTTGAGAGAAAGAGAGTAGTTTTCCTTCCTCTGAGCTATGGCAGGGGTGGGCAATTATTTTGGGAGGAGAACTACTTACTGAGTTTTGGCAAGCCATCAAGGGCCGCATGACAGGCAGTCAGGGGCAGATAAATATTAATTTTCTAATTTTTTAGGGGCCCCACAGGCCAGATAGAATGGCCTGGCAGGCCACATTTTGCCCACCCTTGAGATATGGTCTCTTAAGATCTACAAGTCCCAGAGTTCCTTAATTCATGCTGGCATTTTCTGTGCATTTGCAGAAGTCAACAGGGCAGCCAGTTGGCTGCAGGAGAGGGAACAAGCACAAGCAAGCAGAGACATTGATCCCAGTAAGAGTGGGAGCAAGTAGTGAGGGTGAAGCAGATGATGCTTTTTTAAATTATAATGAAGATCAGAAACAACAGCCCAGGACCCAAGAAGTTGAGCAATACCTCTCATCTGTGAGAAACTTATTTGAGATATTACCTACTATGAAAAAGCTATTCATCCGTTATAACACAAGCATTCCCTCATCTGCCCATGTAGAGCAATTGTTCAGTAGTGGTGGCAAGACAGAAGAAAATAATCAGATGTAAATTTTGAAATGTAGCTTTTGCTGAAGTTCAATAAGCATGTTTAAACAGCTGCTGCTATGTAACTGAACTTTCTTTTTCACATTTAAACTGATCTCATTTCAGTCTAATTTTGATTTTCAGACACGTTCATTATTTCTAATTCAAATGTATTTCATACCCTTTTGTTACCTTTTGAGCAATAAAATTGTACCAATAGAGGTTTTCTGTGGAAACAGCTTTCATTTGTCACCTGGCTATGAATATCTCCTTTCTGTTATACCTATATGATGCATTGACTTTTAAAAAGTACGTCACATGGAGAGGGTGAGAAGGATCTAACGTTACATAGGTATTAGTAAACTGTTATTCTGAAAACTGTATGACAAGTATAACATTGTTTTCAGGTAAAGCAGGGTGAGTTCTGAGTAAAGTAGTGGACTTCTGTGGGCTTATGGAAAAGAAACCCACTCATTGCATTTGAAAATGAAAAATGATGCTAACAGGCAATTCATCACATTTCACGCATTTTGCACAAATCAACTTAACTTTGAACTAGTTACTCTCTTTTTAACTTTTAACTAGTTGAAAGTGAAAATATTGAACTTTGAACTTAACTCAGGTTAATTTTAAAGGCTGCTAACTTTTAACTTTAACTAGTTATATTTTTCATAAACTTTCCCCATGACTGCCAATCTGCAATACACTTCAACATGGTTTCTTGGAGGAAGTTTAGGGAGGGAGAGCTGTACCTCTGCAGGCACCATGTTTGTGGACGGATATCTCCTGAGGGTAAAGGATTGGGATAGTACTATATTTATGTAAGATTTCTAGTCTGAGCACTCTTAGGAAAGAAGAGATCCATTCAAGATCTGCCTAATCCCCAAAGTCCCCTTAGTGCTTCAGGTAAACATCAGCTTCTAGGCTTCTGTATACCAGCATCTCTTTGCCTCCTCTCCCTGCCCACAGCCTTCTCCTGCTCTCTCGGGAAGTACAGTCTACATGGAGGTTACTCAGGCCTACACACAGAGAGTCTTGTACTAAAACCTCCAAATGCCTGAAGACAAGATGGTTCTGTACTTTCCAGAGCATTACCTTAAAACTCAAAATAATCAGTTTTCCCCTCCAGTCTCTCACATCCCTGTTTGGGGTGCATTCCCAGAGTAATTCCTCTCACAATTGATGCTTTTCCTGTCACCACCTGCAAGAGGTGCCCTTCTTTCCCTGCACCACTTTAGCAAAAGCAGAGTCCCAGAGTAGGTGGCACTATGTCTCCTTTTCTCAACCTACTGTTCTTAGACACTTAGCAAACCTTCACACTGAGTTGCCAGACTGGCAATGTACCATGTGCCATGAGCCAGCTTATGTCTCTGTAGCCCGTTTGAGCCACAGGGGCAGCGTGATGGCTCTGGTAGCCCTGTGACCCCTGCCCAGTTCAGTTTCTATTACGGCCCTCCCTTTGATTGCTCACCTGCCATGCCTTGTTCTTATTATTGATTAAACTAGCCAATTGCCTGTTAAGAATGACCCCGGGGGGGGGGGACGGGGCAGACAGAGACGGAGTACTGCCACCCATCACTCCACACTGCCATCGCCTCCCAGGAGCAGTGTGAGGAGGAAGCTTGCACTGCTGTCCCCTCCATCAGCACCCTGTGCTGCCACCACCACCAGTACCACTGGCCTCACCCTCCCCTGCCCAGCCCTGCTCCTCAGAGGTGGCACAGCAGCACCATGATGGTGAGGACAAAGTGGGGGGGGGGGAGGCCAGTGGTGCTGTCTTCGCCCCCCTGCTCCATCTCCTCCGTCCCCACCATCATGGCGGTGATCTGCACTCTGATTGGTTGTTTTACTAACCAATCAGAGTGTTCCAAGAGCACTATGGACAGACAGACAGATGGACAAAGCTCTTTATGATATAAGAATAAAGGAGGCTGCCCACTGGCCTTAGAGTGAGGTTTAGTCCACTTGTTGTATCCCTGGGTCCCTCCTGGACACTCAGTCCCCTGGACTCAACTTTTAAGCCCAATAGCCCCCTTCAGCTGACCTCTGCCCCTACCAGGCTCCTGTGGTTTTAAGGGCTATGTACATACATATGCCATCCAGGGCATCTGTAGCTCAAGGGCTAAGGGCTAAAGGCCTGGCTCCATTTCCCCCCCTACACCATGCCCCAAGCCTTGTGGGTGTTTCCTCTCTTTGATGTTAATGATTTATATACACAGCCCCCCGGCCACCTACCTGGTTTCCCTTTAAGCTTTCGGGTCCCTTGCCCCACAAGCAGCCCCTCATTGGGCTCTCGGACCCTCTAGTCTGGCCTAGCCCACTCACAGCTCATGGACGATCTGGTCCAGGTCTCAGTCTTTCCTAAGCTGCTGAACTCCTTATTGGGCCCCACTCCAATCTAAATAGGCCTTCAGCCTGCCACCTCAGGGCTCAAGGGTAACCCATCACTGTAACTTAAACACCAAGCATCTCAGCCCCCTAGCAGACAGACACCTCAACCCTCTAGGGGCTTCACATAAAGAAAGGCCACTTGCCTGGAAAAGTTCACTCTCT